TGCCTACACCAAGATAAAAGCTATGCAGCCTCCATCAGGGGTTTGTGTAACCTATACTATTTGTATTCAAATCAAATTAAAGTACATTAAATGTAAATTCTATCATCCATATTTGGGTTGAAATTGTACGACTTTAAAAAGTTTGGTGCATTAAAAAAAACACTTACTGTATTTTGACAAAACCAGGTAATGTCTCCCTCGTTGCCTGTGTAAAAGAATATCGGTCCACCTTTTGTCCATAGTTCGTCTGAAACCAAATAACGCATCTGAAATGTGTCACTATTGGTAAAGCTGAAATGGTCCACCTAAATCATAAAATACAATCAGAAATATTTAGAATGGTATATAAAACTTTTGTTTGCAATTTATTGCAAACATGCGAATACAACAAGCAATAACAACAAACAAGGGGAAAAAGGTCGGCGCTTGTTCAGAAACCTATCCAAAATTTGACCCGTAACTCCGGCGTGGAGATACCCTACTAAAACATACCCAAAATGAAGTAAATAATAAATATTCATTAAATGTCCAAATAAAGATCATGAGTTAAGATTCATTATGTTTATTACCTGTTTCGTGTCAAATTTCTTTCGCGCCTGTGTGAAGTTATCTTCCGTAATGTCTCAGATCCTCATTACGGTAGATGACTTCACACAGGCGCGCACCCGCCCGCAACCCACCATCCGTATGCACTTGTATTGTGCAGCAGTTTGCCGTGAAACTTGAGAAAAAGTGTATACTAATATAATCGTTTTTCCAAAAAATACTCCAATAATAACAAAAATTTGACACGAAACAGGTAACAAACATAACAACTTTTAACTCATGATCTTTATTTAGACATTTAATAAATATTTACTTCATTTTGGGTATGTTTTCACGCCGGAGTTACGAGTCAAATTTTGGATAGGTTTCTGAACAAGCGCCAAAAAGTCATATTGAAATCACAAAGTAAATACCTATGATCTCTATAAAAATACATGGATTATCAAATTCATTAAAAAAATATTATTCATGTATTTTTGTGTCATGTTTAGAGGACGCTTCAATCCTTAGTATGTGCTTGTGGCATCATGATCAATTATTCCAATAACTTATGTTTACCATTATTATAACTCAATCAATGACCGAATGAGTAAGTGCCAATGGTGATTTATCCTGGTATTCATAATGATAATAAGAGTCTAAAATAAATATCAGGAAGAAAAGTCAATTTCAAAGAGAATCGTGAATTTAAAAGTATGTTACCTGCTGCTCAAAATATTCTTCTTTGTGCGGATGACTGCATCCTTGACTGCTGATCTTTGCTTCCAATTTATTGTTGATTCGCCGACCAAACAAAACACAAGCAGACGAAGAAAATCCACTGCATACGACAAGGCACATCAGCGTACACCTCAGCCAGCGATTCGGGGGCTCCATGGCCTCAGTCTCCGATGGAATTATGCCACTGTCAAGAGCGCTAAGAATACTAGCTAATGGTTCCTCCTCTTTGTGCCTATTTTATGAGTAATGAATTTGTGACTTTGATCAGAAATCTGACATTTACTTCTCACGCAGGAAGTGGTCAAAATCTACACAAACATGTCACTTATTGTTCGATTTCTTCCACCTCCTCCAGTCGATTGTCGTCGTGTCGCGAGTGCTTCTGCGTTTGATCAGGTGATTGATCACAAGATCAACACGGCAACCTCGTTACCGGGTATTTTGTTTTCCTTCTTTTTGTCTATTTCGAGCAGAGACATGTGTCTTTAGTTTAAGTATGAGTAATTCAACCTCAACATGTTCAATCACTTCCATGCATGTGGCGAATGGAGGGGAGGGAGGGGTCACGACTAGTCTGTGTCCCGTTGTAAGTTTCCTTATAAGTTAAAGGAAAAATAATGTGCCCCCAGTTGTGTTATTGTGCCCCTCTAAATTATCGTCGACCAAAATAATGTCAGAAAATTTGCTGGATTGTGACAACCCCACCTTTTACAGAATCCTTGAACCACCCTTGATTGTGCCATATCAGGAAAGCCTGGTTTTCTAGTTCAGGGGCTTCGGTGGTTATTGTTACAAAAGAAGAAAAGAAGAAATTCGTCTGCACTTTACTTATTTTAATAGGCTACTTTCTCTATTCACTGGTGCCAGACGGGAAAGCCAATGCCCACTGAGATCGACTCGTTATAATCAGCTGGAGTAATATTAGTCATAACCAACTTGCAAGGATATATTGAATAAAAACAAAACATTGAACCGGGGTCAGACCAACGTACCCCACTCACCGAACGATTTCCTGTAAATTTCTTCCCGGTAACCCCAAAAAGTATCAACTAGGAGACACCCCCCCCCCCCCCCTCTGAAAATTTTCCCATGACCCACATATAGGTGGATAAGATTTGAATTTCCCATCTGGCTTATTAAAGTTCCCCCAACACAAGGGTCCCCCCCCCCTCGTCCCTGTACAATAACATTTATAAAAATATGTATTTCCTTCCTGACTTGCAAAAGGAAAGAAAATGGATACCATTTCTAACGATCCAATCCGGAGGAACAATTTGCTGTTGACGCGTATTGTTGTTGTCTTTTTTTTTCTTTTTTTTTTATTTCTTTTATTTTGTTTTGTTTTATTTTCGTTTTTTGTTGATGTTTTCTTTTCTTTCTTTTTTTTGGGGGGGGGTGGAGATTTTTGTTTAATTTAAAAAAAATGCTATTTGCAAAGAGAATTCAGGGCTTAAAGGAAAATCGAGCATGAGGGAGAAGAAAAAGGGTAATGTGTGGAAGAAAAAGAGAGAGCACTTGAAAGTTGAAAATGCATTTTTCAAAATTATTAGGCCTATACGCAGGGGCGTCGTTAAAGGGGGTATACCTGTCAGGATATTGTCGGTAAAATTACGCTGCTGTCGGGAAAAATGAGAAAAGGGGGAGGGGGAAATGAGAGGGAAAGGGAAAGAAAAAAAAAGAGAAGGAAAAGAAAGGGAAAAAGTAAAGAAAAGAGAAGAGAGAAAGAGAAAAAATAGGGGAAGGAGAGGAAAGAAAGGAAAAGAAAGAGAAGAAAGAAAAGGAAACAAAAGAAATGGGGGGGGGGGGTGAAAGAGAGGAGAGAAAGAGAGAGAGTGAGAGAGAGAGAGAGAGAGAGAGAGAGAGGGAGAAGGGGTAAGAGCCTGAGAGAAGAGGGATGGAAGTAAGAGAGAGGAGGATGTTGGGTGGAGTCGCCACGTCGAGGGAGCAAGAAAATTAAGAATAGATAATTATGTTGCTGTTTCGGGTCCGCTGAGTCGGCATTCTTGCTCAAACCTTGTGTACTACATTATATCAATGCAGAAGTTTGAATTCGGTGAGTTGTTTTATGTCGGTTGGCCGGCAATTTTTTTCCCCTAGGCGATCTGTGACTTTTTATCGGACAAGGAAACATTTTCGAAAATTCAGACAATGATTAAGAATCGGTACAACTAATTGTCTTCTTTCTCTAATAATTTAATGAAAAGTCAAAACTTTCGCGCTTCGCGCGGATGGGGGAAACTGAATTCAGACAATTAAGAGTCGAAAACAATGCTTCGAATCGTCTCCTTTCTCTAATAATTTAATAAAACGTCAAAGCTTTCGCGAAAGTGGGGGAAACTGAATTCAGACAAGGATAAAGAGTAGAGAATGGTACAACGAATTGTCTTCTTTCTCTCTAATTTAATGAATCATCAAAGCTTTTACGCTTTGCGCGGGATGGGCGAAAATGAATTCAAACAAGGATTAAGTGTAATAATTCGTCGCTGTTTTCACGAAGTGACGGTAGTGAAAAAAAATTGCATTCACTTTGCGTTACGATTTTCCTCACTACCGTCACTTCGTGAAAACAAGGACGAATTTAATGAAACGTCAATCGCGCTTCACGCGGGAGGGGGGAACTGAATTCAGACAAGGATACGGTACAACGAATCGTCTTATTTCTCTAATAATTTAATGAATCGTGAAAGCTCCGCGCTTTGCGCGGGCTTTGCAAAATGAATTCAGAAAAGAATTAAGAGTAATGATTTAATGAAACATCACATCTTCCACGCTTCACCCGGGAGGGGGGTAACTGAATTCATACAAGAATTAAGAGTCGAAAACAGTGCAACGATTTGTCCTCTTTCTCTAATAACTAAATGAAACATGAAACGTCAAATCCAGCACCCCCGTGCATGTAATGCATTATACTGAAAGACATGTAAACAAATGAAAAACAAACTATTTTTAATAATCTTTGGTTATTGCAAAGGGGAATATATTTTGGCAATGAATTCCAGATCACCGGGAAATTCCATCGAGGAGATTTTTCTTCATACTTAAACATAATTTTTCATCAATGAAAATTGGTTCGATCTCTTGCGTTATAATTATGAATACTAAATAAGATTCGTAAGGAACATGTTCGAAATGGTATATGGAAGAAGATTATGAAAATAAAGGAACCTTAGCACTGCTGTATGATACTGGTTTAAATCAAATATATTCAGGGTTTTGAGCTTGATAAAAAGAGGAGCGGAATGAGCAAGGTAATGGCTACTAGAACAAATACGCAGTCTTAAAAATGCCCCCTCCCCTCCCTCAATCAGAAAATCCTGGACCCGCCCTTCACAATGGTCAGTCGGAAATGCCATGGACACAGGATCTACATGTAAGGCTTCGCTTGAAAGTACTGTATGTGGTTTAGCGCCATCTATGTTCAATACACAGCAGATCCCTCCTTTCTGTTGTAAAATCATCTCCAGTATGAGTGCACAAGATTCTACCAGATAAAGAGTCTCCAGAATAAAAATTCGCGCAAATGATGATAATGAAAATGTGAACTGAAGATAGGTTACTAGAACACAAAGGAACAGAACACAAAACATTGAAAAAGAAGAGGGGGGAGTAAAAAAGAATGGCATCTCGGCGTCTAACTTTAATATGAATATTCATAAGACACGTTCATTATCTACGCAGGTAGGTAGCATAATAAACTGAGAGGGACAATTGTGCCAGAATAATTAAGAAGTTCCCATTTCCAAAGCGGTGAAACTTCACTCTATTATTGTTGTTAGGGATCGCCTTTGTTTCAGTACACCTTGATCGTAAGTTGTTTTAGTTTGTTGTGTTTGAATTGTATGATTATTTTAATCGGGTAACACATTGCGAATATTCAAAGAGTTACAAAACCAGCGAAAAATACTTTTATCTGCGTGTTTAGTGAGAGTGAGAATTCCTGCAGATTTTAAGTTCAGCGGTCGTACGGAGTGCGCCAGGCCGACAGCCGGGCGAGTAATGCATTCCATTTGTAGTTAGGCTCAGCTTCTTCTGCAGATTTATATGTTTAACATGTGCTCCATCTCGAGCAGGCATTGTATGGTTAGGGGGAAAAACTTGCCTCTAGACAAATTGTATTATTAGGCGGTTTGTATTATGATAACTGATTGCGGTGGTGGTGGTGATGATGATGATGGTGATATTATTATTATGATGATGATGTCAATGCAAGTATGTGTGATGAGGATACCATTATAGTGGTGGTAAAGCCAAGGTGATGATGTTGGTGGTAGTGGTAGTGGTGGTGTTGGTGATGATGGTGGTGGTAATGGTGGTGTTGGTGGTGGTAGTGGGAGTGGTAGTGGTGTTGTTGGTGCATGATGAGGATGATGTGGATGATAATGTTGGTAGGATAGAAAATATGAACATGATAATGGACTTTGATGGTAGTAATGAAACTAAAGATGGAAATGATACATGTGAAGGGTTGAGATGATGATGGTGAAAATAATGATGATGATCGTGATAGTGATGATTATGAAGATGGTGATGATTTGGTGTTGATGATGGTGATGATTTGACCTGAATACAATTTGCAAGCTACAGGCTTAGCATACTTTTCTTCACAATTTTTTTGTGTCATAGACTAGAGTCAGAGTAAGGAAGCTTATTTTGCAATTTTTTTATCATTTATATTTCCTTTAGGCCTACTAGTCTAAAGTAAACCAGAACAGTTTCTCCTTCTGCAATGTAGATTTCCAAATAATTCACTTTCAGACTTAGATTTTTACTTGCACTATTCATCTGGGCACTCAACAAGTAAGATAATACGCCAACGGCGATCTGTACTTAACCGGAAGAAGAAGAAGAAGAGATCTTTCTGTATAAATATAAAATCAAGATACACAGAGCTCCATACATGAATCATGATGTTCGTTTATTGAATGAATCTATTTTAATCTTCTAATCTTCTATCGATCTCCAAAATATAATGAAATGCCATGAAGTAGTGATGGCTGATGTAATTGCATATATGTAAGAAAGTATAAGTATTTCCTTGTCTCTACCCCTTCCTTAGACAATGTTAACTTCTCTTTCTAGCAGTGTTTCTTGTAGTCTTGATATGTTTCTTTTTATTTGTTCTGCTGAATAAGAATTTAACAGGCCTAACATAGTTCATGTCAATCTGTATACCAGTAAGATTCATATTTGTAGTTTTATGATAAATGTACAATATAGTCTGTGTGATCATACACTTGATTGTAAATTTTAACCAGTTGTTACATGATTTAACTTGTTATTTTAACAAAGCTACATTTAATACCTCATCAAATCGGTAGGCCTTCAACTTCATAGCTGCTACCTAATTTATGTAACTGCAGGTCTTTCGGGAATGCAAGACTGTCAAATGCATTCATGTCACACACATGCATTGTGTGTACTGAGCAATGAGAAAAACAGTGTTGGTTAATTGTCAAGCCAACAGGAAATAATTTGGAGGAATGTCTGCTATTATTTGTTTTTGCCTGTGCATGACTGAGCAAGCCCAAAACAAGTCTGGTAGGCAGACAATAGTTGTAGTTGTTTCTCATGATAAGAAATTGATTTTTGCTTTTAAATTGTTTTCTCTATTTGATACCTTAATTAACATCTCATGTCCCTCCTGTTTGTAGATGTACACCTATGATCATAATAAATAGAGATATTAATAAATAGTTGTATATGTTAAATATGCAGGCCTAGATCCAATGAATGAGACAGCCGGTGAGAGGGCATTAGGAAGAGAGGGAGGGGGTGTGGGAGATAGAGAGAGAGAGAGAGAGAGAGAGAGAGAGAGAGAGAGAGAGAGAGAGAGGGAGAGATGGAGAGAAAGAGAGAGAGGGTAGAAATAAAATGAGAAATAAAACATTGAGAAAGAGATAGAGAGAGTGAGAGAAAGAGAGAGAGAGAGAGAGAGAGGGGGTGGAAATAAAGTGAGAAATAAAACATTGAGAGAGAGAGAGAGAGAGAAAGAGAGAGAGAGAGAGGGTGGAAATAAAGTGAGAAATAAAAATGTGTAAGAGAGAGGGAGGAAGAAGTGGGGGGGGGGGGGGGAGAGAAAAGGAAGATGAGAAAAGAAGAAAAATTAGGCATGTACCAAGAGGAACAGTTACAGGATTCTGAGATTTGAAAAGAAATGAAAAGGCTTCTGAGGAATAGATTCTTGTATGAAGAAGAAATTGTGAAAGAGAAACATTGGAATATTTATCACAACTGATTGGAGATGGGGTTGGATTGATCAACATGCATTTGTTAAGCTTCATCTATAATACCCATACTCATTTCCTTCTGTTCTGCTTTATCTCTCTCTCAGGTAGCAATTTCCAGAGCTGTTCTCCATTACCATAAATTAGGGCTCAAACTGCTCTTCGCCATGGCAACAAGAATCTGCTGAATATTGAAACCAGGTAGGTATCTGTAACATGTGTAAGTCAGTTGTTTATATTGTTTTAGATCAGCTTCTTTAGACATACCTTCTGCTTCTTTATTATGATTGAAGATGTAATTCTATAGATTCATCTTGGATTTTGTTTTCTACCAACAATATTCAAAGTGAAATTATGGTGAGATATTTAGGGCATCTGAAGAAAGATTATAAAATTAATCGCCATCAGGGTACATGACTTTGAATGCTCATCCATATGTTCATACTTTTGAAAAAGAAAATGGAATCAGTATCTCTGAAGTACTTGAACCATATGTAGTTTGAGAGAAAAGAAATAGGACTAGACAAAATGACAGTATTAAAGTCAAATTTGCTGCATTGATTTCTGTGGATAGTTTCGATACGGTACCTAGTGACATAATTCTGAAGCATGTAAGTGGACCATAATACAGCAGAACATATACTTTTCTAAAACAGAATTATCAGACATTTTCCTCATCAGTAATTACTGATTTTGTTTTGTGCATATATGTACCCATGATATGCACAATGCTGTTCCACTCAATGAAAAGAGAGAAAGAAAAAAAAAATTGACAAATGAAGTCTCAACTTGAAAGAGATGTCAAATTCTCTGGAATGCAGACAACCATATTGTATCCCTTCTTTTTCATTGAATTTACGTAAATTTCCAAACTTAGATCCAATTTTCGGTTGCAAATAGTCCCAAATTGGCTCCCCACTGAAAGACTCTGCATGCATCTCTATACCGATCACTGAACTAAAGAACTTCCTTGCTTCGCTGTATATGAATTTGCATGCGTGACACCTATTCTTTTCTTTTTTGTGGATGAAATCTTTCAAGGGATGGGATTTATTTTTCATCAGGAGATCCATCAAGGAAACCCTTTTTGCCTCGTGAATGTTTTATTCATGGCCCGTTGGAAGTATCTCATACACCTTTCATTCATTGAATTGAGAGGATGAATATCATTGCCTGCCATAGCCTGTAGCTTTCTCACTCTGTATTTTATCTCTAGTAATAGCATATTTAGCTATAATACACACCTTGCATATATTTTCTATTCCTCTTTTTATCTCCCACATCTCTTCTTGTTTGTTATTTTCATTTGTCATATTGCCAATACTCATCATCTCTGTTTCCCTGATTTCTTTCTTATTTTTACAATTGTCTATCAATTCTCATCCAATCCTTTTCTCTCTTATTTGTTTCCTTCAATTCTTGCCTATCTCTCTTGCGTATCATATCTTTGCAATTTCATGCTTAATACTTGTTCTGCGCTTATAGCAAAGTGCTTTTTATCATGAATTAATAAACAAAAATTCATTAGGATTTCCCCAAATTTGATTAGAGTATATTTTCTTTTATGAAAACATGCATGATGTGGGGAGCCTATTTTATGGTAAAAATGCATTAGTTTCTTATGTTTGATTTTAAGTTGATTATGTCTTTGTAAAATTATGAGCAAAAGAAATTTGTGAGAAGTGGACTTTTCAAGATATTGGGTGTGCTCTAAGGTATTAATTTCACACTTTTCTGTTTATTCTATGTAATTGAAAACTCAATGCATTGGAGCTTTCAGCAAACAAAAAGTTGAACTCTGTAGGGATTAGCAACACAATCCACACACTAGGGTATTTGAGGGTCTTGTTTACTTTCATCCATTGTGAGCTGATAAGTCATCATTAATCCATTTGTAAGAGAGAATTTAACTGATTTCATCCCAAAGTACATTCTTTGAAGTTCATCTAATAAAGCAGATTATAAATTTTATATTGAAATCTTGTAGAGAATTATATGCCCATATGTGAAATTATTGAAGCTGACTTAAGAAGTACAGGTACAATCAGCATGATATCCCTCTGCAATTTTTTTTCTCTCAACAATTTAAGCATTTATCGCGGATTGCGAAGTCAGTGCGGTTGCCAAGACGAACCCAGCCAAGCATGAAAGATTCAACGCACTTACGATTGAAACCGATATATTTATTCTTAGCGCTCACCCAGGTGTGTATTGCCATTATCAATTTTCTGATATTCTGTCAGTGAAATCGAGTGAAAGATATATGAGGCAAGTCAGGCGGAATGCTTTTGTCGAGTTAGACTCTAAGGTAGATATTAAGAGGAGCTGTAGAAGCTTTCTAAAGCATGCCAACAATTCTACAATTTAGAGAATCTCATGCATATTTTGCTTTGTACATTCTGATATTTTCCTCACATTTCATGTGTACATTAGTGCAGCCTATTCTCAAACCGCAACAACACAGGGGAGTGCAAATTGTGTGTGTTTGAATTAATCATAAAAATAGACAGAATAGCAAGATTGGAATGATATTTTTGTATTGAAATTAAAAAAAGAAGTACATTGAGTTTTGAAGAAGAAAAAAATTATCAGCTTTGATTGCACCCAAGATAAAAATCTTTAGATTCAGCCTGAACGTGGCAACTGATCAAAAACATACATACATGTATTGTATGAACAACAAATGCCAAGATGAAGTGCTCTAACCATGTATCTCAGAAGCTACCAATACAATCTGGGTGATAAAGTATTTTGACAAATTTATGACATCCTGGCTAGTTGGAAAATTTGCTTGTGTGATCATGCGCAGATGCTATGATCCACTGATTGTAAATGTTGGCAAATCTCTTTTTGTTTTGAATACAATTTTAGCTATTTTTTCTTCACAATTTGGTCATTTCTTTCTACAATTGTTCCTGAATGGCAGACTTGCTAAAGCATGAGCCAGGGGATAAATAAAGATGGGTGGATATTGTTTGTGTGAGCCCTTCTGGCTCCAAACAAATGTTGTTCAAATGACAGCAAGCAAGTTAACCCTAGAATGTGAAAGTACTGATATCACTCGTTTCAAATTGCTATGTTAACCAGTTAAAAACATTGCAGAAATGTCTTATATATAGGACTTTCATTGCTTCTGAAAGATTGTTATTGTGTTCAGTTTCATTCATATTTCATAAGGAGAAGCTTTCCAAAATTTTAGGCCTTCAGTGCTCTTTCACTTCAGCAAGTCTACAGGGTAGGGCATGCACAGAATAACTTCTAGGTCCATAGGCGGGGTCAGACTCTAATTATCCAAGTTCCAAATTGCAAAGTTAGTCAGATTAGTCCATGCATACCCATGGCATGTACAAGCAGAAGGTGACTAGCCACTCAGAGATGTCAACAGTTTAGCTTCTGGAAAGTTGTTTCTTCCAAACTCAAGGAAACTTCAAACACTGTCTGTTTGCTGAGTGTATTGTCATGACTAATTCCAAAGGGGTAGAATCAACTATGACTCGAGTCCCTTTCCCCTGTCTGCTTATTTGGAGAGTGGTCATTAGAATAATCCAGGACTGTTGTCTCCACTTGTTTCCAGTTTGTGGTGGGCAGTTGTTTGCCAACATTTTCTACTTGTTGGTGTTTTTGAAAAGAGGTTTTATTTGCAGGTTTTAAGACTTTAAGAGAGGAGAGAGTCCTGAGTTGTTTCCATTAATTGAAAGAAGGAAAGAATGTGGAGAGATTTTGGAGTACATTGCATAACAATACAGTTCACTGTACCTCTAAATCTATTGACATTTAACAGTGATTTTAATGATTATATGTAACACCTGCATAAAGTAACAACTGATCTGTACCCATTTACTCTGTAGAGCACCTTACCTGATGAAAATTATTTCAGAATGCTTGAAATACTGAACAGACAAAAAAACAAACATAAAACACACAAACAAAAAGGAACTGAAACAAAGTAACGAAAACAAAAACACAAAAAAAGACAAGATAGACAGATAGATTTTGAAGCTCTCCCTAATGGACAAATGCTATTTACTTTGCATACTCAATGTATTATGAGCATGTTATAGGGCGTACAGAAGTGTGCAGAGGTGTTGGTAGTTTTGATGATATTGTTTAGGTACTTGGGGTCAAGATGACCTAAAAGTGCTCTGTGAGTTATTGAAGATAATGTTTGAGATGACTCATAGGTATGTTGTGTAAGAGTGGAATGTCATCCATTGTAGTAGGGACCATGGTCTGACAGACGAAAGCCACAAGTAATAGGGAAATAATAGGCCTGTCTTGATCAGCTCGAGTTTGCCAAATAACCCGCTATTTTCTGACTCTTGATATTATCCCAAAGCTCGAAATTGCGTCTTCACCAGACCGATACACTCATCACAAACTAGCTCGGACGAGCGCAAATTAGCCCTTTTTTCCCCAAAAGCTGATATTTTGTTTAACAAGACCAAGATTTACTCTACCAAATATCCTGCTAATTGCAACTGCAGGCTGATGAAGACACAAATTAAAATAGCGGGTTATTTGGCAAGCTCGAACTGATGAAGACGGGCCTATTTTCTGTTGAGAGCCAGAAGGGAGTTAATTAACCCTATGTAAAAGGATTACTTAATGGCCTTCTGGCTCTCAGCTCATGATCATCATCTGAATATGACTTCAGGTTGTGGGTGAAAAGACCTCCCATGAAACGTATCAGTCTGCAATCCTGCACTGTTGTTGATACCGACATGTTGATGGTCTCAATCGTCTTTATGTTTGTTTAGTGATAATGATAATAAACATGAATTTATAAATCACATATCAACATTTAGTCACTCTATGGGCTTATATATAGAACAACGATTTAATACAGCCATGCTTACACATTCTAAACACTTTATTTATAAATTGTACCACTTTAAAATATCAATGATACAGTGTATATGACGAAAAAGATCAGTACTATTGTACAGTTTCAGTAGCACTGATGTTGTGTTAAGATTTCTCTTTTTATTGTTGCGATTTTGATCAATATATAGCCCCAATCATGTCACTTTTAAATGATCCATATAAATAAAGGAAATTTGTTCTTAACCCTTGCGATACTGCTGTAACTTTTATGTCACAAAGACCTGTAGAAGCAGAGGTGAGACAATTATGGAGATGTTTTTTTAAACAAGGGATAAACTTTAATTAAATTACCTAGACTATGAGGTTTTTGTTGAATA